GCCGGCGAAGGGGGCTGCGGGGTTTGCCCCCGTGCCGTGCCGTGCCGAGAGACCGACGGGCCGGGAGCAGACAGCGAGCACCGCAGGGTAGCCCCGCTACAGCCGAGAGAGGGGAGGAGCAAAACCAAAAAAAAATAATAATCCTCCGAATGAGAAGGTGTCAAGCCAGCAGTTCACAGCAGTGCTGAACGCGGCTGAAATGCCAAAAACACTAATTCCCTCTTGCTCAACCCCCCTTTCGCTCCCATCCCTGCATGAGCGTGTTGCTTCGCTGCGCAACCGGAGTGCTTCTGCATGCTGTGAGGTCCTCGCAGTTGTCCCTTTGCCCCCTCGACCTCTCCTCCCTGGAGGTGGCCTTGCAAGCCACCTGCATCCTTCTCCGCTCCCCTCAACCTTTTCTCCTCAGCCTGGCATGGCTGGGCTTCTGCCCTATTCCCAAGCCACCACGTATAATTATTTTCTGTGCAAGAGAGGACTTTGAGGTCTAAGTTTCCTGTTATTTGGGGTGATAGCTGCAAGAACCAGAAGACCCCAGAAGCCACTTCACCCCAGGACCTTGAGCACTCCCTGAATTTCCCTGTGTCTGGGGAGCGGCACTCGGAATTGCTACGCGCAGACACCGAGTGCGAGAACTCCCTTCATATCTCACTAACAAGTCCCTACAAGCTTACCGACGCGCCGCCGCTGCTGGAGAGAACAGGCCCTCCTCCGCCTTCTGCTCATCGACGCCGTCAGTCTTCTCAGTCGCTCCTCTGCGCCGCCCAGGTCACCAGGGCCCTCCTTGGACGTCCAGTTCGCCCCCCTTCTTCAGCCCTTCTGGCACTCACTGCCTATTTCTGCCCCCTTAGACCACCTCCCACCCCTCTGCCTGCTGCTTCCACTTTCTGCCCGTTTGCTGCCTCTCTCTCCCGTTTCACTCCCCCTTCAGACCTAACCACTGGTCACCTCTGCTTGAGCCAGCTGCTCTACAGTTGTATCTTCTCTTGACTTCTCTGCTGCCCACGATTCCTCTCTCTGCAGCTCAGCAGCCTCGAGGCTTTGCGTGCTCTCCCTCCACCTCTGTTACCTCCCGCTCCCCCCTTCCTCGCTCTGCCTTATCCTGGCCTCCTCAGAAGCACGCGTCCCTAATGGTTTCAAAGACCCCATTAATCTTTTCCTGACCACTGGATCTTTTTTTCGCTGATAATCTGATCTTTC